ATCACGAGTCATTTCTGAGACCTATTAATGGACTAATATTATCCATATATTCTTATTGTATAACTATCCAGTAACTATGATGTTTATATCTATATTCCTCTTATCATAAGCTTCATTTTGACTCATAGACGAGTATTATGTGATTCCTAAATTATACTTAGTTTATTAATTACCGTCTCCCATGATCACAGCCGCTATTTGGTTTGAACTTGTCTTGTGAGGATATACCTGACAAGCTTATTTTATAAATAGTTTCTGATGTTATTTGTATTTGTTTTGTCAATTTTTCACTGCATGTACATTTTATCATTAAATGATTGCACGTGTTGAACACACTTTCCTTTCGTTGTGTAACTTCATAGAATGACACACTGTTGATTGCTAACAAATACATTGTTATACACATACCTCTCGTTCTACATTCAATTGTGATTATGTTAACTAAACTCTAAATCAAATACTGTCTACATTTATAGACTGTAATCAGAATATATCATAACCTACGTTGGATTATAACACTAGGAATTCATCAAACTTACTGGAATTATCAACCGTCTATAGTTGTGGATATTTCGCTACCAGACCAAATCAGAACACCTGGTGAATTAAGTAATGTCCCTCATTTTTGTTGTGTTTATAACATTTAACTGATATATATTAACATTATTATCTGTACTTAATAAATCTGGCCTTACTTTTTCAGTTTGTATATTGTCTGGTCCACCACAGTTTGAATGTTATTTCCAATTTTATGGTTCGATGTGGTCTTCTTGGCTGGTATGTAAATCCATTATATCTGAAATAAATGATTCGTATAGTGGGAGCTGATATTGTTGTTTTAAACTCAACTGGATGGGCTAGGCGATAAAGACGTTAGGCTGCTCATACCGGTCGATCGTCCTTGGTTCGGTACAGTACTAAGATTGCATAAATCGCATTCAAATTGGCGAATAAGTCGCATGATGATTAGTCGGGCTAAACGTCAAAACAGTTAAGATTTTATTTTTTCTAGAATATTTTGTTCTGTATTTCGTACACATTTCCTATGAATATCCACTTTCTAAAAATAATCTACCTCTTTCTTTGTTTCATTATTCCTTAACTAACTGAAAACCATTTCGGTAGACAATATTTAAGAATGTGATAAAAATGTGTTACTATGCAATGTGGTTTCAGTCAATCTAATCATACTGTGGTGACTCGCATTTATCAAGAGAACACTACTGGTTTAATAAAAACAATTATTATTATAACCAAGTGTACCAGCGTTTGTTTTAATGAGCTTTTGTTTGACTGTGCTAATGACAGCTATATCGTGCTTACATTCTTGTTCACACACTTCGTTTGTAACTTCGCGCGAATTCGGTTACCCTCTGTAATCAAGGTTGTATCCTGGCACGATCTCGGTATCCTTTCGATGCCACGAGATCGCCAGCAAATAAACATTGACTTGGTTTATTAATTGCCTTCTGATATTTGGCTTCTCGGGGATTTTATGGAGTCATTTGGAAAGAGCTTCTTGGTAGCGGTGTTCATAGTCAATCTCCACTCGACACCATGCTATAATACTTCAAATAATCTTTTGAAATACATATCTACATGTTCACTGCCAGTCAATAATTTATGGACGAATCAATCAGATATACTATAACAGGTCTTCAATTTTGGTGCTACATGAGTGCGACGTATGACAATAAAGAGACTGAGAGTGAGACAAGTGATGAATCTTAGCTTAGTGTGGTGTTACTTGTGGGAGCTGCACAGAGAAGGGGAAATGGAAATGGGACAGTATGTGTAACATTTGCAAGCTAACTATATCTGAGTCCGAGGAAACTGAGATAGCTAGTTTTCGTGAGCATCTAAAGCATCACTACTGGTTCTGGTTAAGTCATTAGTAGTGCCCACTTAGGCTCTCATCAAATCACATTCCGATTCACCGGAATAAGCACCGCTTCTAACAACCAGCCAGCTTCAATAATAATCACAAAAACGTTCTCTTCCGGAGATTTCAATTTCTCACTCTAGTGGTCTCGAAGGAATATCATGAGAAGAGCTGCTTATGGTGGGATTGGTAAGTCCTTCGTGATCTATACCACATCAGCACTACAGTGATTGGGAATTTTGAATCTCGATAAAAGAAACGATTTGGTACTAAGTTTGAAGTGGATTGTAAATATGTCGAGGGAAATATAGCTCAAAAATATTATTCAAACAGTATCTTCAAAAACTGAAGGCTAAATGTGAGCACGACCTCAGTCACATTAAGTCCTTAATTAGCAAGCCACTCCCAGAAGCAGTTTCAGGAGTTAACATCCGTAAGCCTTATAGAATAAGTCCAAAACGTGGATTCTCAAAGTGTTCAGAAAAGCAGCCTCTTGAAGGTTACTTTTGCCACAGTTGAAGAAAGAAACGTGATACTGGGAAACTCACGCAAAGTGATTGGAATTGGTCCCAGCCAGTTGACAGTACCAAGAAACGAGCTAAAGAAGTAGAAATAAATGAGCGCCGCCGAAACGGTGAAAGAAACGTTGTAATTAAGGGTTATTAAATTGTAAATTTTTGGAGCAAAACGACCCCACAACCACTCTCGGTGGCAAGGCAAAGTTTCCTACAAAATTAAAGGTGTGCTACACAAATGCTTGCAGCCTGCCAAATAAAATGGTGGAGCTCAAGACAGTGGTGGGTATAAAAAAAACCATATGTTGATACAGTTTCAGAAACATGGCTACCGTCAGAATTGTTTTATAGTGAAATTCAGTTGACTGGTTTTATATCCAGTAGAGTTGATAGATTAAACCGTAGGGGAGTCGTGGTTATCATGTACATAAACAGTATCTTAACCATACGAGCATTTGAGACAGTGATACATGATTCAGGAACATTTGAACTGGTGCGTTTCAGACTGAAATGTAGACGGCAAGATATTGAGTGGGTTGCAGTATATCGCAGACTAGAATGTATAATAGATGACTTCCTCCTAAGCAAACTTAAGTCCTGGTGTGATTAGCGTGGAAGCATTATAGTAGGCAACTTTAATGTACCGTATATAAACTGGGTAAACTTAAAAGTAAGGTCATTGATAACGTCATTCGATTGCAAATTCTAAGAAACCTCAACTGCACCAGCTTTATTCCAACACATTAGAGATCCCATCAGATATGATTCATAAAGCTCCTCGTCCTTCACGGATTTAGTTTTAACACACAATGATGACGTCTGTCAGATGACTTTCCTTCTACTTCTAAGGAGAAGCAATCATACAGTCTTAATAATCAAACACACGGCTGAGATGGCCTGTCAAACTATTGCGTCGGCCCCTACCAACATGTGGAAGGCGGACAGGGTTTCAACCAGCTCTGCAGCATCGGCTGAAAACTGGGAAGTTGACTTAAGGACATCAGTACAAGAGGCATGGACTCATCTCAGACAGTTATACAATCGGTCGATTCAACCACATATAACCTGGACAGTGCAAAAACGAAAACCACGGCCAACCCTGGATAGGCTGGGATATTTGACGTTTAACAAGACAAAAGGAGAAACGCTGGAATGTTTCCGTCAGCCTTGGCACAGCAGGTACGATGGAGCGCTACAGGTTGACAAGAAACAAGGGTATTATTAAAATCCGGGAATCTCAGAGAAAACATGAAATGCGGCTGGCACAATTTTCACTTAAGCAGCCTTAGAGAATATTCTCGTACATGAATTACAGAACAAGGATACATCACTGGATTCTTAACCTAATTAAAGAAGGGAGTGAATCTGAAACGATAGAGGAGGATCATGGAAAAATGGGTGCTATAGCTAAATATTTTGGGACATTTTTCATTCAGGAACCTCTTTTAGACCCAAATACAAAGTCAACTAACCCCCTGCTCACCGGGGACTTCGATCAGGACGATGAACTTAAGACTCTTAGCACCTTAGACACAGAAAAGTCAACAGGTCCGGATGAACTACACCCCACTATCCTTAGACATACCGCACAATAAGTCGCAACCACACTGACAGTGATATTCAATGTCACTTGACCAAGGCGTGTTAACTATCAGCTGGAAGCATGCGATCGCCACTCACAAAAATAAAACAAGACCAAGACAACTTCTATCAAACTACAGACCCATCAGCCTCACCAGTATTGTAGTTAAAATATTGGAAAGAATAGTCGAAAGGACCATAATGAAATTTTCGGAAATCAACAACTTGTGAAACTGTGATTAACATGGTTTCAGAAAGGGTTTATCTCGCACAACAAACCTGATGGCAAGAAAGCATTGGATAAAGACGCTAGACAGTGGAAACTCAGTGAATGCTGTCTACATAGACTTCAGTAAGGCATTCGGCAAGGTGCTGACAAATGGACTGCAACTGAAGTCAGAAAACCTTGGTATTGCTGAACTTCTATTAAAATGGCTTAAGGATTTCCTTGTAGGTCGTAGACAGAAAACAAGAAAAAGTTCCAAGCGCTCCACCTGGAGGCCAGTTCATAGTTGGGTACCTTAAGGTTCTATCTTTTTATACTGTATGTAAATGATTTCCCAAGTATTTTAAAGTACTCAATGTTATTATACGCTGACTATGTAAAATCTAGTGAGTAATAACGGAAGACACAGATACATGCGCACTTCAAGCAGATTTAAATGATGTGGTGAAATGATGCATATGGACGCCTCAAAGTGTGTCTGATGCACTTCGGGGATACAAAAATTAATAGGTACTGTAACGAGAAAAGGACAAGGAAAATCCCTCCACAGTTTTTTTGTTAGACAGTACTGTCATTGATTTGCTTCTTCTCCCTATCGTATATTTCAACCTTTGTTCAGATCTCGTTGAACCACACCTTTTGTTCTTCATTATTTCTTGTCTGAGCCCTTATTATGTGATTTTGATTAAAGACTTATCTTTTGTTAGCTAATTTTCTATTGCATGTTGCCGGACTATTGACAGTAAGGTCGTGTTTGACTACGCTGAAGGTCACGGCGTGGCTCAGTGTGTGATGGCAAACTTTTTGAATGTCTGTTTGGGAGGATTGCTGGAATCCTTGCAAATAGATATTTGACCCCACCTTGTTGGTAATATTTTTATTGATTCTCAGATATGGAACATTTTGGTATTAACTGTTTTTTTAATGTTTAGCGCTCTGCATTGCGTTAGAGAAACCTCTGACTGTATAGCACAAGCTGTACCATATGAGGTATGTTGTATTTTTGATATACTTTTTTCTATTTCCTGAATTAGAACCGTTTACGTTGAGCACACGACTTGTGTTTTGATATGATTTAGTACGAGTGTCTCAAAAACGCTTGGTAAACAATACGGAAGAACGTAGTCTCGCCTATTCAAATACATTTTGGTTCGTCAGTCCTGCGTTCAAACCGAATACTGGAAGTTCGGTCCTGAAGGGTACAGCATAGGGGAAGCGCCATTACACGTAGTCTGGTCTCATAAGGATCATGGGGTGACAGTGAATCATTATTTAGGACCACGGCGCATCTACTAGAGGTCGAAGCTAAGGGTATTAGAGCCCTCTAAGTTTTAAGATAGACATTCACTAAGTTAGATACTACCAAGTTTACTACAGTATGCACAACTTTAGTGAAAACTAAACTTGAGAACTTCGTTCAGGCTGCAACCTCCTATCTAAAAGGTGACTCGGATATCCTGGAAAAAGTGCAGAGGGCAGACAACCGCGCAGTTTCCTAAGTCCAGGGTTTACGATACAAAAAGCGTCTTCCAAATCTAGACCTTGAAGATGCCACAGATATTCAGAGTTGGAAAACGCTTTAACCAGTAACACCTAATATGAAGCGTACCCAACAAGTGATATCAAAAGACAGAAGCAAGGAGGTTCGACGATATATTTGATAGGCTATCAATATATCAAGGATCGTCTGATCTAATTAGGCTAGCAATTGCAGGGATTGTTGAACACGAATTTCCCACTCGTGATCTGGTGCGGATGCATGACCGAGCGCCTTCAGATAGGTGGTTAGCATCTAATGTCGAAAACTTGCAGAGCTATTTACTTTGGGGGCTTTGTTACTGCTACAACCTCTTTATTCTATCCTATCGCAGATTAAGAGGTGATCTACTTTTGATGAATAAAATAATAAGAACTGATTTTGAACGCAATATATCCTCCCTTTTTCTTCCCGCTAGATCAAGACATCTCGGAGGACATAGCAGGCGAGTGGAAAAGCCAAGAACGAACAAAATACCCGTAGCATACAAGTTTCCACACCGAGTCATCAATTCCTCGAACCTGTTAACGAAGCGGGAGTGTCCGCACATTCAGTTGACTCATTCAAGAGAAGACTAGACGCTCATAGAAGCATACTACAAAAATAAATAACACACTCTGTAGGCCTTCTGTAGTTAATACACAAACCAGGATATGAATCTGAAAAACAGCAAGAGTATAGACATAACATTATTTCTTACGAAACGCTCTGGACCAACAATAAATCCACTTAAAAAAGTGATCGAAACTTAATCATTTCAGAGACTCTTAAAAAATAAGCAATACATAAAAAATCAGAGAGACCTCCCTGAACTCGTAATTTGTTTTAAATCTTCATCATAGTTGTACCAAAATGCACATCTGTTCAAATATAAAGCTTTTATCGTGTGCGGTCAGTACTGTCTTACTTATTAGGTAAGTGCCACGAGAAATACTGCTAACGATTCCACAGTATAAGTTATGTCCCATCTTTTTCATGTTCACAGCACACAAAACTCAAGCATCATAATGAATTACTCTTATTACCTAAGGTTACCATAATATATTTCATTGTTGATCTGGTATAAATTATGCCGATAACTCGACCCAAAAATACATAGGTTTTAGGAGCTAAATATTCTCAATGATGCTCAATACACAATGTTCGTAATAAAATTCAATCTCCAAAACCTAACGACAAAATATCCTCACTTTCGAGAAAAACACTTATTAAACCTAATGCTTGTTTTGCCTCACAAAACCAGAGTAACTGTATAACAGAATGTGTTTCAACCTATTACATCCTTACTTACGATTATGATGCAGTTGCATTGCACTGATGGCGCTGATACTAACTCCGCACTAAACGTTATAACCAAGGGATGATTGTTTCGACATCTTGATGACTGTAGAAAGTTTTAGGTTTCGCCGTCATGCACATAATTGTGTTCGCTGATTGTTTTTGTGTCATGGTTAAATAACTCAAACCTCTGGAATACACATTTTAATCCGATTATTATTTTTTCAGCTTTGATAATAAGATGGTGTCAGAGACTCACAGAATTCGTGCACAGACACAAAGTACCTGAAATTGTATGTGGCTGTTGAGTTAAATATCCAGGTACAAGAATACATCTTAGGTGTGAGGTTTTACGACGAACATCGTCATTAATGAGAGCTTTTGCAATTGGTTACTGATTAAGAGTTAATTATAATCAACACTAAATTTTGGAAATACAGCAGTTTACCAAAGTTCCGAGGATAAATAATCACCCTAAATTTTTAAAATTCATCATTTATGATCTTAAGTACTTTGATCCTAATGCGTTTGTTGCAAATTTTAGATACTTGAATATGTAATATTACTTCTCTTTGTCGGTGATTATAAAGCAAGCTATTTGAGGTACTACTGAGGCTTTATTAATTTTTATCAGAATAATTTCCTTTCATCGTTCTAAAATGAAGTGTGGTAGCTTAAGCTAATGAAGATGTGGTATTTTTAACCCATTACAATTAGTAGCAGGAAGAAAGAACCGAGAATAAAATGTAGTAACGATGACTTCAAAAATGCGATGTTTCAAGATTGTTACGACCGCAATCAATCTGGCGTATCTTTTTTTGGAAGTAACTCGTGTTTCTTATTTTGAGATTGACACGATATATAAACGCTCTGGTAGTGTAAACGTGTGTACATGCCTGAAAACTGAGCTCCTTGAAGGGTTTTTTAGTCATACTGTATGGATGTCCGGGATTCACTTTCGAAATTTTAATGTGCATAGTAGTGATTTGAAACCTCTTTTTGAACTCACCACTCCGTACTGACAAGCATAAGGTGTAGGTATCTGTTAATTGTTCGTGTCACTTGAGTATTTGCAGTAAATTCAGTGAAATAATGTCTACTTTCATTGTAAACACCTCAATAACAGTTTGAATTCCCTAGTGTAGTAGCCTAAGAGACGACAATCATCTTTTTGTACTGCTTCTTTGTTCTCTTTTTCCGCCACAATGCCTTTTTCTCTGATGCGAATGTACGCCTAAATAGATAAAACCGACGTGGTCGTTGCCTAATCTCGTTATCTCTTTTCTTATTTGATACCAGATATTATGGCTAATATCCTCCCTCCAGCTGATCCACGAGTTGAAAATTGGCCACTAATGAAAGATCCAACACCTGTGTTTGTTACTGTTCTACTGTATCTAATTTTTGTTCTCTGGTTGGGTCCAAAAATTATGAAAAAGCACCAAACACCGTTTAACCTACGGCCACTTATGATCATTTACAACATTTCTCTAGTTCTGCTTTCGAGTTGGCTAGTGTACGAATTTGCTGTTTCAGGATGGTTTACAGGATATTCGCTTGGTTGTCAATCTATTGATCATTCAAGAAGACCGATTGCTATGCGTATGGCTAGTACTTGCTGGTTTTTTTTCATTTCCAAAATAATTGAATTATTTGACACCGTATTGTTTATCCTCCGAAAGAAATTTGAGTTAGTTAGCTTTCTTCATGTTTTTCATCATGCAATCATGCCTATTTCCTGGTGGTACGGTGTGAAGTATGTTCCAGGTGAGCATTATCCATTTTCTTAGCTTCTATTATAATTATTCACATAATGTAGTTCTTACGTAATTTATATGGTGTTATTTAAAGTCTATCTGTTGTTCGACCCACCTTAAGCTTGGCTTAGAGGCATTCGATTTTTAATGACTGATACCAGATAACTTAACAGTGTTTATTATGTTCCTAAAAATACATTCTGGTTACAAAATGCCTACGTAATATTGACCATTAAACTAATATTCATTTCCTAAAATTAATTCCTCAATCAATCACTATATCACAAAATTTTTTTTATTTTTCTTTCAGGTGGTCTAGGAACTTTTCATGCATTTTTAAATTGTATCGTCCACGCCTTTATGTATACTTACTATGGTTTGGCTGCAGCTGGACCTCGTTTTCAAAAGTATATATGGTGGAAAAAGTAGGTTTTCAATATATAATAGGGAATATACTGTCTACAACATTTCTAATATTCAATATTATTACCTTACTTATCAGAAATTTTACTTCAGCTTGTATCTTTCGAGGACGTGTACTGTTCCTTTACAATAACGCTGAATACCTAGGTTTCAGATCCGTGTTCCATATTCAATTTCCCATACATTTAAACAATTTAACCGATTACGCAACCAGAACTTCTTGACAATCATTAAGTGTCTAATATCGTTTCAGTCTTTGATGGCTCACATTCAATTTATCTTTAATTATTTTAGCCTCCAGTCACTTTACAGTAAAGCGTAATGAAAGTTACCGTGGTACATATGCGGAGAATCATTGCTTTTGAACTATTCAGTATAAAATTTCTTCGAGTTCTTGGTTAAAACGTCACTGATTTAAAGTATTATCTCAGTGGCAGTAGACTCATTGTTACTATCATTTAAGGTCTATTACAATCAATGTTCATTGTCTGACCCACATGTACCATGCATCATGTGTTTGCCAACAAAACATACAGACGCTGATGTATTCAATATCTACAGAAACAGAGATCGTAATGAAAGACTTAAAATGTTAGACGCATTACTTCAAGATTAGGAAAATAAGTATTGTCTACCATGACTGATTCGTTTGACCATCTACGTTTTACAATTTGAATAAGAATATTTTCTGATATTATTATATGTAATGTAGTGGCAATGGTTAATTAATTCCTGACTTTATATTTTTGTATTTTATACAGATACTTAACTGCAGCTCAAATAACCCAATTCATCATTATTATTTTTCACTCAACATATGCATTGAGTATAACCGATTGTAATTACCCCAAATTTTTCAGTTATTGGATTTTGGCATCAGCATTGATTTTTCTTATTTTATTTTCCAAATTCTATTACAAAGTAAGTATAGATAGAATGAGTTCTCTGAACTAGATGACTTATTTGTAGAGCTTTCATTGTTTTGTTCATGACATCGTCAGAGCTTACTTCATCGAGAAGTGATCTTTTTCAGTTATTCCACTAGCCTTATAACAGTATTCCCTGATGGTCTTGTTAATCATTGACCATCGTGCCAGATTTTCTTGTCATTGTTTGTCCTTGTACCCAAGTTGACTATATTGTGTCGTCAACCTTTGACTATTTATTCATTTATTCATGTGCAACAAAGAACCCTGCACAAATATACATCAATTCAAGCTGCCATACAATATTATCAGAACGAGGTTGTATTATCAAGAGTAGTAGAAGTAGTAATAGTATTTGTGGTAGTAAGAAAGATCAAGTAATAAAGTGTAACAACGTCTATGGGGATTTCGAGATACAGAATCTAAAAGAAGATAAAGAAGAAATGCCTCTGTGCCACTGCAAATGATTCTGAATTTTGTCACCCAAAGTCTCCAAGCACTAATCGCAGTTGTCATGAGGATACCAACTAGATAACCTTATTTACCTATATGGCTAATTCGAATTGTCAATGATTTCATTGACTCATCTCACGTTTTGTTCTGGATACCCTATCTCTCTTCAAGTCTAGACGGACTTTGTCAATATACGTTCTAACTACTTCTCAATGAAGGTTAGCTACCTCTAATTGATTTTTCCTCTTTACAAAGTACTTTGTATATAACCTCAGCATTGCTTACTCGATGGTCTTGACATAGACGATCAATACGTCGAAGACAGCTGTGATTGAGTGCTATTAATCTACGAAAATTCTTCGTTCCTAATAGTTTTATTTCTTATCCATAAAGTAGAACTGAACGAACTGCTGCCAATATAAATCGTCCTTTGCTTTGTAGATAGATATCCTGTCTACGTCACAAGTAATTTAATTTGGCAAATCCAAAACAGATTTCAGTACTTGTATCAAAGTTTTGTCAGACGTCAACAAACAAAGTCCGATGAGACTTCCAAGATAAATGAACTGATCAGCAAGCTCAACTACTTTAATTTCTCTGTCCCTCTCGTTAGTTTAGCGATTGACACAGACCAATCTTTAAATTAGATTTCTCATTAGAAGTGCGTAACAAGTATGCTTGCACTGTTACTTAGGGTTATCAGAAGAATGAATTTTGTCAGTGTCTTCATCAAACAGGATTGTATCATCTGTTCATTCTAAATCAGCGAAGGGGTCTCCTTTTAGAAGACCGACCCTTTGAAAGTCAGATGATCGGAGTATTATTTTCAGAAGAATCTCTATGGTGAAGTTAAACAATAATGATAAAGTTGAACAACCTTGACGAATACCAAATGAGGTTGATAATTCAACTGACGGTTACCCAGAAGCTCTAACGTGACTAGTAGTGTTCGAGTAGAGAGCCTAAAAAAGGTTGATGTACGTCTGTGATATGCCTTTTACTGACAGGCATTGCCAAATGACCTCACAACAAACACAATTGACTGTTGTCTTAAGACCAAAAAGTAAGATTGCTTTGGAACTTCACAAAATATGTCTATGTTCCCCAACCTGACGAAGGGTGAATATCTGGTCTGTTCTTCCACACCCAGATATGAAGCCTGGAAGCCTTCGCTCTTCATGACCTCTAGTTAAGGTTTGAATTAATATTGTAGACAATAATTAGATAATATATCAATCAAATAATTTCGTTTGTGATTATTATGAGAGTAGATTTCTCCCTTCTTATAAACTAGAACGACCGGTCGTCAAAACCAGTTAGATTGGATTACGTCTAATTCCTAGATTCTAGCTCATCCAAGTCAGTCTAGCTAATTATTTGATTGATGATCTCCGGAATAGGTCGATCATTCGTATCTAATTGGATATGCTCATTAGTTATTGATTCGTTTTTCAGAAATTTCACGGCATTCTTTGAACTCTTCCATTACAAAATGTTGACGTTCTCACGATCGAATTATTGCCCTTATTTGTTTACGTATATTGATAACAGCTACAATATTTCATGTTGTTTATGTCGGTATATGCACGTTGTCCAAAATGATCATTATTAAACTGAGTACAATTTATTTTGTAGATTGTGTTCCATTTGTTTTCTTCAGTTATTGTGTCTTTTAGTCTATATAAAATAGAATGGAGTAATTAATTTAATTTATGAGCTAAATCGATTCTATATGGTTTTGAAATCCTCAAGATCTCTGATATTTCTGAAACTTGTGTAATAACTAAGAAGTTCTTGTCTCTGAGTGTTAGACGCTGATGACAGTCAGTATACTCACTAATACCAAAAGTTGGCACTCAATCTGCAAATAATCATTGTTCAGATGATAAACATTCTACATCTTATGTCTGTGTTGTACTGGTCTACAATTTTTATCCGATATGTCTTAGTTTTTAGCGTCTCTCTACTCTTATGTGGTTTAATTAACTGACTTCAGTCATTAGTACCATTACCTAAAAATAGGTATGACTTAAACCAGAGTATCTGAACCTGATCTAATTAGACTAATTATACTATTTTCACAAGTTTCATACCTAACACAATCCATTGTAATCGATTTAACTCAAAATTATATTATTAGTTAACGGAATTGTGAAGATTTGAACTCTTTTTAAAAATAATTTCACCGATTGACTTTAGTTAGACAGAAATTATAAACCAAGGAGTAGTGGATAAGCGATCTCATATTGGTTTGTAACATCTCATTAGTCCTCATTTAGTAGCCTACCGTGGGAATCAAACCCAAAACCTTCAAATCTCACAATGAGCTCCTTACCTTCAAACCACTTAACTAATATCTAATGATTTAGTATTCTAACTTAATTCAATTCATATGATTATCTATTCAACTTCCAATGTTATTGATAAATAACTGATACGGACACTTGACTCCACTACTAAGTATGATCAAAATCAACACAATGTTCATAATGTAAATTATTAAAATGCAATACTGTGTTAACAAATTTATTTTATTCGTAACAATATTTACTCTTTTTTTTCTCTCTCTCTTTTTCTCTAATTTAGGCCTACGAGAAACCAGTTCATTCATTAAATGGATTAATAGCTGATAATAAATACCATAATAAAGCTCATTAAATTACCTTGTTCGGGTTTGTGTTTGTTTTCTAAATCTAATAGAAATCAGTAGTAATGATAACAGTCATTATAGTTGCATAGATCGGAATCTATTGAATACATATATATATAAGGATCTTTCTCTTTTTTCTTACATCAGTTCATCATTCTTTATGGTTGTTCATCGTGATAAACGTAATAATTCTTTATGATATTTTCTCTATGATATTACATTAGCTTCTTTTATTGTTTGCTTTTTTTGATGTAGAATATTTTATTTTGTAAAAGATACATCATTCAATTTTATAATTTTATATGCGCACACACACACACATAAACTTGCATATTCACACAAATGATTATACATGTATCTATGTACATTTTTGTTACAAATACATTGTTCTAATTGTATATTAATAATGTTCTCTTTTTATAGTTAAATATTATCAATTTAATATCAGATGGGTTTTGTGGAGATTGTAGTAATTTCAATGGTTAAGATCATGAGTCAATTGAAGCTAGACCACCACCATAGAAGACCTGGAAGCACTGGACGTCCGTTTTTATTCCTATTGTGGAACTCCTCAACAGTGTGCATCCATGATCTCGCCCCTCGCGAGACTTGAACCCAGGACTCCAGTGGTTTGGTGTTTAAGTGCTCGCACGCGAAATCAGCACGTCCTTGGTTCGAATCTCGCAGGGGGCGAGGTCATGGATGTGCACTGCTGAGGAGTCCCACAATAAGAATAAAAACGGCCGTTCAGTGCTTCCAGGTTTTCCATGGTGGTCTAGCTTCAACTGACCATTGAACCATTGAAATTATCATCAGTTTAATTAATAATTTATTTTATTATATCAAATAAACATTTATAACGGATGAAATAATAGCGTTACGTAATAATTGTCTTATTGTAATCATTGCCATGTATAATGTGTTTGTTTTGTTTTCATTATTTCTTTGATAGATGAGATAAGATTGAACATTTATAAACATTTATTGACATTATCTATTAATTCTGAAGTTTGAATTCTATTCTACTTGAACTCGAATTTAGATAATGAAGTTTTATTTTACTGTACCTTACATGTACACTTACAAGTGGTTCGATTGGATAAATACTTGATTTAACAAATCAGTTAGATGATCATATAAACTATGTTCATTTGAATTAATTAATAATATGAAATAACAATCAGGTTGTTATAGATAATAATATTGATTTGGTGGAAATATCTGTTTGCTAAAAGTAAACTCCACTTGTAGCTCTTCTAAGGTTATAACCGGTCCCGAGCCCAGGTGAGGGAGAAAGATTGAGTATGGCGTCAACCACTCCATCTCGTAGAAAACAAGTTTACTCAAAAAACATTAAATAACAAAAAAAAATTGAACCATTTAAAACTCTTCCCTCTGAGCTCAAGGAAAAATCATGATGGCTCATAGTAAAAGTCGAGATTCTTCGGAATTCATGAGGCTGATACCGTTTCTAACAACAAGACAACTAATATAGGCATATAGAATGTTCGGATAATGTGGAAGACTGGCAGGACTAACAGAAGAGATTCGGAAATGAGTAGATACAGCTTCACGGTTCTCAAAAGAAGCGACAGAAAAGATTAGATTCGATAGAGATAATGTTATACTCTGATCACGAAGAAGAAAATGTTCCTCTGACTCGGGTACGAGCTTTGATGCTGTCCAAAAAGCACATCAAGCACCTGTAAGATAGAAATCTAATGGATCCAGAATCATCAAAGCATCTTTCAAAACAAAAAGAAGGTTATCACAATGAATGTTATCCAGTGCCATTCACCGACCAATAATAACAAGGAGGACGATAATGATCAGTCTTACGCGACCGTCCTCCATTATCTTCTGTGAGTAAACTACATCACAACTGACACGGTTGATATCCGCCAGTCACAGCTTCTCAGCGGTCTAGAGGTTAAGCTTTTGTGAGCGGGACCTAAGGTACTGGGTTCGAGTCTTATTCGCGAGCTCGTGGGTCCTATACTAGGACGAGACGATCATCCAGTGCTTCTAGATTTGCATTGGTAGTCTAACATTGATTGGTTTATGATATCAACAAAAACTCAATCTCCACAACCCTATACAGATCAGTTTTATGTTTAGACTCTTTAAAAACAAATAGAAATTTTCATCAACGAAACAGTGCCTTAGAGTAATAAGCTGATGTTCCGAACCTTTCTCATACCTACATCAATATAGATATTTTATTAGTAATAAAAGCCGTAATGAGAATAATATGACAAAATTGATTACACAAATGTTTTCCATGATTTTTTTAATCATTTATACGATCCAAGAGTGTTTACGTAGCTACATAGTTTAGATGACTGTTTTAAATTCAAACAAGCGAAAACCAATAAATTCTCATTGACTAAGGTTTCAACTAAAATCTACTTTAAGGTAAGTAAACATATTGTGTAACCATACTTTCAAACTATAAGTGATTTACACTTTAAAATGGGAGGATAGATATTTTTCTCGTCAGTTATCTTCTATGAATTCATTTGGTATTGTTTACTTGAATCTTCCTATTGATGTTTAGGACTGCAATTGATCAATCTCTTGATGGCAAATGTGCATCCAGTGAGTATTGCCTCGATATTACCTTAGTTTACAAGCATTGTAAGCAAAGATGAATAATGGCTAGCAGTGGAATCTAGGACGCACGTTTCGCCCTAAGTACGTAACGCTATGGCGTTTGAAGCGAATGGTACTAGGTTCGAGTCCCAGAGATTCAAATAAATCCAGCTGACGAGTCCCAATTGGGACGAAACGCGCGTCCTGGATTCCACTGTTAGCCATTATCCATCTTTACTTATCTTCTATGAAGTTGTAATTGGCTTTTTTTTAAAAACCTTGCTGTCACTATTTGGGTCATGAATGGCTGTCCATATGTATGGTGTAGTTTTATGACAAACATTACTAAACAATAAATATAGGGTAATGAAACAATTCTCTTAGTTTGGTTTCAACTTAATGCCAATTTTTTTTTAAAGAAACAAAGTATTTTACATTCAGTTTAAATAATGTATTTCATACATACAATTTCGTAAGCTGAATAATAATAATTGAAAAATAATTTAAGCTCCAAGGTATCTGAAAAGAGTTGTCTTAATCTACTCTAAATTGTACATATGGTATATGCTACTTATGTCGACAGTAGAAAATTGAGAAGATCAAATTAAAGAGAGTAATTGTAATGACAACAGGAATAAAGGAGCGATGAAATTCAATATAACCATATACCCAAGCTTTATAGTGAGTTAATTATTATTTTTAGCAACATTAATTAACTTCGATTGAATGTTCACAGTTCTTATCCTATATCTTCAACTCTTGACAAGATATACAATGATGGGAAATCTTGAATACGACTGAGATATGTGTCTATTATTTCTCTTGATTATTTTAATGAAGATCGTAAATGTGCACTGTTGAGAAGTACCATAGTAGGACGAAACAGCCGTCCAATGTTTTCAGGTTTTTTCATGATGGTCTAGCTTCAATTGATTCAATATGAAGTATTAACATTACTATAAGATCCACAAAACCCATTTTGATTCTAAATTAATTAAATGAATTAATATTCGATGTACAATACTTCATTTCTATGTAACAATCACGTCAGATTCAGTGAATTCTATTATTATATTAAGGTTATTTACAGCACAGCATAGATTATGCTTAAAATACACTAGAAATCATACATAGTAATGACTCAGAATCTAATTATTAGTTTAGGACATTGAAGTGTATATTCTTGATTTGGGTCAGACAATTCGTATAAACTGGTTGGATCAAATTTTAATATTTCATCTTTTAAACTTTAGCCAATTCATAATTTAGTTGAAGAGATTATGTGGACTTGTTGGTTATATTCGTTAAAGGTTGAGCTTAGTTAAGGTACCTTTAAAAACAAAGAAACAATAAACAGATAATTCGTCTTACCATTAAGTTCCTTAGTCGTTGCACATACATGAAGAAATCTGCAATAATCAACTCAATAATGACTTACTTCAAGATGTTCGTAATGTTTTGATGAGAAATATTGACCTGTGAAATTCAAATGTGTCAGTTATCACCAATGGGATTGGGCGGTTGTCGATCTATATGGCAAATTGATTATAGTTGAAATGATAAAATCTCAGTGATTGGCCTGCCTTCTTTGTCCTTGGCCGGTCTCTTTGGTTTATTATATTTCCGTGCTAGTTTGTTCACTGTATTAAATGATTGTCTGATATTTTCCTTATCCTGCAGCTTTTCTTCTAACGTTGCTAGTTCTTCCACGTATTTCTGATTGTCGGCTCTAATGCTCTTATTCACTTGCTCGTTTGCTTCTGTGTATTCAGCTTGTGCCTTATATTTCTCTGCTCTTGTTTGGCTGTTGTTGATTGCCGTCTGCTTGTTCTTCCTGTTCTTGGATCCTGTCCAGGGTTCCCATAAAGATTCATTCCTCATGATGATGCTCCATGCGACCCAGCACCTCCTGACATGTTGAAGTTAGTGCTTGTTCATTTCCTTTCCAGTTGTCTTCCACCGTAGTTTCTTCTTTCAGTAGATCCTGTAAGGCTTGGAACCTTTTGTTAAAATTTATCTTGAATCGGTTGTGTTTATCAAAACGTCAAAGGAGGCTGTATTGATACTGTTTTTATGCTGCTTGTCCAGCTGTGCAATGCTTCTTCAGCTTCGGTTTCATCTTAGCAACCACCAGGTGATGATCTGAAGCTATTTCATCTCTTTTCCTGGTTCTCGCGTCTCCCATTGACCTTCTAAATTTGTTCGCGATGCAAGAACGATCAATCTGGTCCTCTGCAGTGTGGTCAGGAGAAACCCATGTAGCTTTGTGTATGCGTTCGGGGGGCAACATTGTTCCATCCATGACCATTTTGTTGAAGTGACATAAATTTGTAAATCTTTCACCAGTCTCGTTTCTTTATACCACTCCATGTCGTCCTATGGTATCTTCATTTAGACCTTGTCGTTTTCGTCTACATCACACACTTCTCCACAATCAGTTGCAAGCTCTCGTAAAACTGACCTTTATAGTCGACGTTCTTATCATTGGTGTGTGCATAGCACTAGATAACATTCGTTGTGATAACCTTCGTTTTGTTTTGAAGGATGCTTTGATGATTCTGGATCCATAAGGTTCCCATCTTACAGATGCTTTACGTGCTTCTTTGGACAGCATCAGAGCATCTACCTGAGTCAGAGAAACATTTTCTTCTTCGTGACCAGAGTACAGCACAATCTCCCCGAAATTTAATCTTTTTCCTCCAGCTTGTGACCAGTGGGTTTCATTTATTCCGAGCACTGTCAAGTCGTATCTCCTCATTTCCGAAGCTGTTTAGTTGGTCTTGCCAGTCTCCCACATTGTCCGAACATTCAATATGCTTATATTAGTTGTTACTTTTGGTACCTCGGAAGA